GTCGATCCTCTGACAAATCCTGTAAGGTCCCACGTACCTGGGGGCTAACTTCCCTTTCACATGAAATCTGACAGTGCCTCAGAGTGGGGAGACTTTGAGATAGACATAGTCCCCAACCAGAAACTCGAGGTCTCTCCGGCGGTTATCTCATGTAGCTTTTCTCATCGACTTTGGGCAATCCTCAGGTTCTCTCGCACTTGGGCGACTCCTTCTTTGGCATCTTTGATCTTTGCAGGGCCAAAGAATGATCTCTCTCCTACCTCTGACCACATCAGAGGGGTTCTACACTTTCTGCCATACAATGCCTCAAACGGTGACATCTTGAGACTAGCCTGGTAGCTATTGTTGTACGAGAACTCTGCGTGAGACATGCTTTTCTCCCAATCAGACCCATACTCCAAGACACAAGCTCAGAGCATGTCCTCCAAAATCTGATTAACCCTCTCTGTCTGACCATCTGTCTATGGGTGGTACACGGTGCTGAAATCCAGTCGAGTCCCTATGGCCTTGTGCAGACTCTTCCAGAACTTGGACACGTATTGCGTGCCACGATCAGACACTATGCTAGTGGGGGCTCTGTGGAGTCTGAGAATGTGCTTGATGTACAGATCTATTAACTTCTCAACTCTGTAGTCATTCCTCACAGCTATGAAGTGAGCTACCTTGGTCAGTCAGTCAACAATCACCCAAATTGAGTCATGGCCTCTAGGGGTTCGAGGTAAACCCACTATAAAGTCCATGGATATGCTCTCCCATTTCCACACCGTGACGTCCAAGGGATTAAGCAACCCGGCTAGTCTCTGATGCTCGGCCTTGACCCTATTGTAAATGTCGCATTGCGCGACATGCTCAGCAATATCTGCCTTCATGTTCTTCCACCAAAACTGTTTCTTCATATCGGCATACATTTTGGTGCTTCCTGGGTGGATACAATACTTAGAGTCATGACCCTCTTCCAAGATTTCTTGCCGCATGGCGGGATCAAATGGTACACAGATTTTGTCCTTGTACCAGTACACTCCTTGCACATCTTCCCTGAACTTGGGGCACTTGCCCCTCTTCATGAGTTCTCAGATCTCTCAGATTTCCGAACACTCTAGTTGAGCATTGTGGATCCGATCCTTGAGGTTGTATTGCACTCGAAGCTCGTTTAGCATACCCTTTGGTAGAATCTCAAGACGAAGGTCACCCATTTCCTGACACAGCTCGGGTGGTACAGCTTCCATGGACAGATTGTGGCAATAGCTCTTTCAGCTCAAGGCATCAGCGACTACATTAGCTTTTCCCGAATGATAGTGAATCTCCAGGTCATAATCCTTTATAAGCTCTAGCCATCTGCGCTGTCTCATGTTCAGATCCTCTTGTGTGAAGAAGTACTTCAAGCTCTTGTGATCGGTGTAAATATCACACTTATTTCCGATCAAGTAGTGCCTCCAGATCTTTAGGGCATGCACAACAGCGGCAAGCTCAAGATCGTGGGTCGGGTAGCGTTGTTCATGGTCCTTCAACTGTTGGGACCAGGTCATAATCCTTTATAAGCTCTAGCCATCTGCGCTGTCTCATGTTTAGATCCTCTTGTGTGAAGAAGTACTTCAAGCTCTTGTGATCGGTGTAAATATCACACTTATTTCCGATCAAGTAGTGCCTCTAGATCTTTAGGGCATGCACAACAGCGGCAAGCTCAAGATCGTGGGTCGGGTAGCGTTGTTCATGGTCCTTCAACTGTTGGGACGCATAGGCAATGACTCTCCCACTCTGCATCAAAACGCAACCCAGTCCCTGTCTAGATGCATCACAATAGACTACGAAGTCTTTCTGGATATCGGGCAAGGCAAGAACAGGAGTGGTGGTAAGCTTCTGTTTGAGTCTAGAAGCTGTGCTCGCACTCGGGCGTCCATTCAAACTCATTAGTCTTCTTCAGTAGGTTGGTCATGGGCTTGGCTATCTTTGAGAAGTTCTCGATAAACCTTCGATAGTAACCGGCCAATCCGAGAAAACTGTGGATATCGGTCACATTGCGGGGTTGTTCCCACTCCTTCACAGCTTCAATCTTTGTGGGATCTACAGCGACTCCCTCAGCAGTGAGAACGTGACCAAGAAAGGTGACTTTTTCAAGCCAGAAGTCACACTTGCTAAACTTGGCATAAAGCTGATTCTGCCTCAACTTCTCCAGAACCACTCTCAAGTGTTGTTCATGCTCTTTGGTGGTGGAGGAATAGATAAGGATGTCAGCAATGAACACCACCACGAACTTGTCTATCTCGTCCACGAATACCTTATTCATCATGTTCATGAAATAAGGCGGGGCATTAGTGAGTCCAAAGGACACCACTGTGAACTCATATTGCCCGTATCTGGTGACAAAAGTTGTCTTAGGAATGTCCTCGGGTCTGATTTTCATCTGATGATACCCAGACCTAAGATCAATCTTGGAAAAGTACTTGGCATCTATCAGCTGATCTAGGAGGTCATTGATCCTGGGCAGAGGATACTTGTTCTTGACTGTCACGGCATTCAAGTTCAAATAGTCAATGCACATCCTCATGGATCCATCCTTCTTTTCCACGAACAAAATAGGGGAACCCTAGGGCGAAGCACTAGGTCTGATGTACCCCTTGTCCGACAACTCCTTGAGCTATTTCTTTAGCTCCTCCAGCTCATCGACTGACATGCGGTAGGGCCTTTTAGCAATAGGCCCGGTACCAGGCAGAAGGTCAATCACAAACTCTACATCTCGATCAGGTGGCATGCCTGGCAACTCCTCAAGAAACACATCAGGGTACTCATTCACAACGGGTACCTCCTCGACTGTGTTGGCCTCTAAGGCACACAACATAGAGACTGTCTTTCCCTGATTAGGCTTACAACAGATTATGTGACCACTCGGGTGTGTGATTTCTACGTACCTTGGTGAACAAGATATCACTCCTTTGTGCTGTGTCAACCAATCCATTCCCAGTATGACATCTAGTCCCTCAGATGGAAGTAAGGTGAGATCGGCTAGAAAAGGGTAGCCCTCAATGGTGACACTCACTCTCTGACATCTCTTGGTGCATATAATGCGACCCAAAGGTGAACTAGTGTCAATGGGCTCCTTGGGGGGTCATAGGTATGCTATGCTCTCGTGCAAACTTGGTGGAAATGTATGAACAAGTAGCTCCAGAGTCGAACAAAACCGAAGCTATAACTCCCTATACCAAAAACATACCGTACACCACGTCGGGAGCGCCCTAGGCGTCCTCCGTGGTCATGTGGTTGAGACGACTACGGACAGCCCCTGCAATGTTCTTGTGTGGTGCAGCAGGTGTAGCAGCCTGTCTCGCCTGGGTCAGAGCAGGCGGTGTGCCATTCTTGATGGGGCACTCAGTGATCTTGTGACCGGGCTGGCCACAACTGAAGCAGGTGAAGGGCGCGCTACCTGTGGAGGTGGGCATAGCGGTCCTCCACGTGCCAGCTCCCTGAGTGGGGCGACTCGGAGCAGGACGGCTCTGAGCGGGGCGGTGGTAGTTGGCGGTGTAGGTACCACCTCCACGGCTCGGAGCGGTCATAGCCCCCTGAGTGTAGCGTGAGCGGAGTGGAGGAAGCACGTGAGCACGTGGCCTCTACGGGGCCAGGCCATGAGAGGAACTCTCGAACCGACGCTTCTTCTCCTTATGGAGGGCATCCACCTCTAGACGATCCCTCTCCATCTCCAGCACCTTGTTGACCATCTCGCGAAGGGTGCGGCAGGCATGACCCGAGAGGGCCACCTTGAGACGAGAGTTCAGCCCCTTCTTGAAGCAGTACATCTTCTTCTTCTCGGTATCGGTCTCACCTGGAGCATACCTCATCATGCGGGTGAAGTGAGTGGTGTACTCCTGAACCTTCTGGGAGCCCTAGGAGATGTTGTGAAACTCCTCCACCTTGGCATCCATGACACCTTCGGGCACATGGTGCTCATGGAAGGCTTCGGCGAACTCCCCCCAAGAGATACTCCCTGGGTCCTCGTGGGCGTCGCAGTAGCTGTCCCACCATGCACGTGCAGCGCCAGTGAGCTGGTGGGCGGCGATCCCCATGCACTCCTCATCAGTGCAGGTGGTGAGGTCCAGCTTCTTCTCCATCTCACGGAGCCAGTCCTCGGCGGCGATGGGGTCATCATCGGCGGTATCGAAAGTAGGAGGCCTCAGCTTGAGGAAACCCTCCAACTTCCGCTGGAAGTCATTGGGAGGACCCCCATGGCGGTGAAGCATTCCCTGAGCCAGCGCCTCCAAGAGGCAGGTTTGGCGGTCCATCACCTTCGCCAACTATGGTGGTGGCGGCGGCGGTGGTGCTCCTCCTCCAAGCTGCTAGGCGGCACCCGCCCCCAGTGCGGGCTCCTCCCTGGCACTGAAGGGAGCTCCCCCACCTCCTCCGTGCCCACGGCCACGACCACGGGCCATGGGCGCGGGGGAAAGCGAGCAGTTGTTCAGACGAGTAGAACGATGGCAAGACATCTCTCTGCAGGGTTAGGTCATTATTTAACATTTTTCATTAGATGCATTGTTAAGTGGTTTACCAATTTAAAATGAGATTTCTATCCCACACTCATACAAAGATGCAAATAAGAACCATAAGATGCAATGAGATCCAAAACATCCATTACATTAATTTATTACATAGCGACATCTCCAGTAGCTACACTGACAGATTCGCAGGAATCGTGCTACTCGCAGGCAGCTCCAAAAGTGGGACATCCTACTTTACTTCATAGGTACGTCATATCTCTAGCCATGTAGGGCTCAACATGTGTCGGGTGGTGCAGAAGGACCAGAAGTGGAAGCCTCAGGAGTGCCCTCCATGGCACGGAGCTCGTCTTTGGAGCGGTGGATCCTCGCGACGTAGGTGAGGGCGTAGTCCAGCATCTCTGTCCTCGAAACCTCTGAGTAACCCTCCATCGGGCAAGCCTTGAAATTGAGCTTGGTGGCCTCAACGTGGAAGGGTTGTCTGCGCGGCTTCTTGTGCATCCTAGGTAAGAGGACGTCCTAGACCTTCCTGATCTCCTGGATGCGCTTGCGATCAGCGTCGATCCAAGCCTGGCTAATGCGGTTCACCTTGTCCTGAAGGTACTCGATGCACTTGATGTAGTGAACCAGGTGATGCATGCTGTAGGTGGTGGTGATGGTAGCCTCCACAGCCAGCTTCTCCATCGTGTTGCAACGGGCCTCTAGGGCAAGCTTCTTGATGCCACGGTGCTTCTCCTTCTCGTGGAACTCCCTCAGGGTATGTCTCTGACACTCAATCCGATCCTCGCACTCAAGCACCTTGGACTCAAGATAGTCATGGCGAAGCTAAGCCTCCCCAACTTTGTCCTTGAGGTTGGCGATCTCCTCCCGAAGTGACTTCTCATGGGTCTCGTAGAAGGTCTTCATTCTGTCATAGCCCATGCGGTCCTCCTCGAGCTTGCCGACCATCTCCTCCTCCTTGCGCTCCACCTTGAGGAACTCCTCGTCGCAACAGAACAGGAGGTCTCGGTAGCGGTGGTTCTGCATCTCCACATCCATGATGTAGCGATCCTGGGCGATGATGTACTGCGCGGAGGCCTTCAGGCAGGGGTCGACCTCGTCACACACAGCATGGTCTGCAGAAGTGATCTGCGGCTCCAAGAACCTGTTGAGGTCCAGAGCGGCAGGTAGCAGGTGGTACGGTCCCGTCTTGAGGAAGTCGTGTGCGTCACGCATCACACTACGAAGAGTAGTGTGCGAGACGGACTGCACGCACGAAGCGATGGAGTTCTCCACCTCCAATGTCTCGAAGGCACGCAGCACGGGTATGAACTCACTGGGAGGACCTTGAGGTGGACCACGATGTGGCCCTTGAGCCTGTCGGGTCTAGGCTCACCCCGGCACACGTACTCGATCTTCTCTGTGGGGATACCTAGCGAGTCCAGTACGTCATACAGGATCGTGGCGAACCCACGGTAGGTCAGTCCGTCCACAGGGAGCTCGACAATAGGAGCCATCTATAATTTTAACCGTAAGACGGAGTCAGTACTTGTTACTTCTGAAGTATCTTGAGTAATACAGAGTGAAACTTGGTAAGACAAGGCGAAACAAGGTAAATCAGGGTGATACTTGGTGAATCCTGAGTGATACAGGATGAAACAGGGTGGAACGGAGCGATGTGATGGGTAAGGTAGAACGAAATTTAGGTAAGAGAGTGTGAAATTGAGGTAAGCCATGCACGAAAATGAAGCACGGTCGGTAATATAACTGAAAGTGTCAAGATCTTTCATAATCCTATTGTCCAAACCTACAGGTCTGTCCTAGGGTCAAGCATGGCTCTAATACCAACTAAAACGTCCTTGATTTCCACGAAGGGAAATCCACAGAAACAAAGTGTAAAATGACGAATGATCCGTCAATTTACCCAAATCTCAGTGATACACCAAGTCATACACGATTATCAGAGTACCATAAAGAGTTTTACATAAATTATTCTCTTCGCCACGCAGGGTGGAACACACTCACACATAGCATCCTGAACAGCATCTGATGAGGATAGCAGCAAAAAATGATCTCCTGGAACCAGCTCGAGCGCAGAATAGACCCTCTAGTCCTCCCAGTCATCGCCCTCATAGTCGTACTCGGGCTCGGAACCTGCCAAAAATCTATCAGTACACTTGGTACTGGCCACGCATCGCCCACCATATGCTTGCATTGCTTTGTGGAGAGTGGAATGCATTAGGAGAAGTAGAAAGAGACCTATTTAGGCTGTGGGTTTCCTATGCATGTAGTTAATATTTTAATAATAATATGTTCGTCAGGTTTTTTTAACCCATCTTATTCACACATTCTCCCCACCCATCACACACATCACATCTCATCTCACTCTCTCTCTAGGCGATGAGATCGACTCCCGCTCAGATCTCGCCTCAACGGCAAAAGCCGGAATCCAACACGAAACCTGGGGGGAAGGTAGAGAAGGACTCCTCTCTCTAATCAAGTGAAGCATAGGTCACAGGAATGTCCATATCCATGGACATGGCTATACGTATAGATCGATCAACTCTGCAGAGCGTGTACACCTGGTAATCCACAAGATCGCCATCCTCGACGATCTGGCTCGTCTAGGCTGATTTCGACTGCCTCCCAACCGGTACAGTACCACTTAGCCCTGGACCACCCCAGAGTCCACCGAAACACTGAGACTGTAAGACGTAGTACCGGGCCCCCAAGGTCACTACGCTGTCTTAGGAGGGTGTGGGTCCCCATGCCCGTACCTCCCTACACTATCACCTTCCAAACTAGTAGTAGTGGTACCGCCCTAGTCAGTCGGGTAATCGTCCCCCGCCCATCGGGAGCGAGTGGTGTGCATGAAGGTCCCATGGTTCCGGTTCTCATGACATACCAGTCCTTAGGGGGACCGGATAGGATATCTTCTCAAAAGGGGGTCACCAACTCCCCGTGCCATGACAGCACCTCACCAGGGATAAGCAACACCCCGGTCCACCTCTCACGTATACCCGCCACAGGTAACTCTCGCAAGGGATGCCCAGGTCGCACCCCTTCGGCAACACTTGCCCAAAAGACTCGTCGTAAGATCCTGTCCAATCGACTCAAACCTCACCACACACCCAAAACACACGCCAAGATCTCCCCATGTTCATTATCCAGTTTTACCAATTTTACGGCACCTCGTGCCTTACGCACATAGTTCTCTCCCTCACCAGCATCACATCACAGATATAATGCAAGTGAGAGTAAAGCAGTAAGTATGTAACAAGCGAGCATCTAGCCTATCAGCGGGTGTGCATGAGTAAGGTTGCATCAAGGTATAAGGCTCAAGTAAAACTACCTTGCAACCTAACATCACATTATTGCATAAAAGATAAAGCGCTAGCAATTCTAGTTATAGCATGTGTAATAGGATCTACGAGATTGGGTGGGGCGTGGCACCTGGCAGGTCATCTCCCAAGTCTTCGCTGTAGTCGGGTTCGTACTCCTCAGTCGGCAGGTCCTCCGGCTCTGTTAAACATAACATATGGTCGCGTGAGTGACTCCTATAAAGGTGCACAAAGAAGCAACAGAAATTCGAAAGATCCAAATGCACTCAAACACAAGCCTATGACATAGAGCTCCTTTTTAGAAAAATTTGAACACTGGTTTGGTTTTTTCTGAGTTAAAATTAATTAGTTATGAATTTTCAAAGATTAAATGAATTTCTAAAAAAGAAAAAGAATTGGAAATTCCAGGCAGTGACACATGGCAGCACCCGATTGGCTAGGATGGAGTGAGTCACTGACAGGTGGGTCCATTGACTGGTCAACGGTCAACTTTGACCGGGCCGAGACCGGGCTCTGGCGGGCCAGGCTAGGGCTGGATATGGGCCGAGTTGGGCCGGTCTAGGCCGGGCCGGCCTAGACACATGGCAGCTCCTCGTGATGCCACGTTGTGCTGTGGATTCGAAATGGGCTCCAGTCTTTATAGGCATGGCTCACGGTGGGCATGACCGAGCGGTTCACGGGTGCACGTGGGATCTACGGTGGACCGCGTTCAACTTTTCTTTCTTCCTCTTGGTTCATGGTGCACATGGTGCACCGAACCACTGTCCCGGCCCCTCCCCTTGCTTCCCCAAGCGGTGGAGCGCCCACTGGCGGCGAGTGGCTGTTCTCTAGACATGGCGGCTCCTTGGCAGCGTTTTTAGGCTCAACCGAAGACTTCTCGGCCCACCCTTGTCCAGCGAGGTGGCCGGTGCCATTGGGAACGCTCTCGGCATGACAGCGCTATGGAGCGCGGCACCACCGACAAGGTAAACGCGAGCAGCGCCCTCACGTGGCTCTCTTCCTCCAACTTGCTGCGCGCGGCACGTCCCTTGCCAAGGGGAAACAGATAGCCGTCCTTCCCTCACTTCTACCGGCCTGAAACGGCATGAACGGAACCTCGCCATGGTGAGCTCTAGCCATGGCGGGCATGCTCCACAACGCGACGCCCCTCCAGCGTTCCCAGGCCCTCGGTGCGCAGTGCGGTCCATGGTTGGGGTGGCAGGTGTACGTGCATGTGTGTAGGCAGGGTACAGGGGTCAGGGCCTCCTCTTGCTCATTCCCGGTACGGAGACGGCGAAGTGATGCTTGCGAACACTACGGTAGAGAGCTGGGAGGGTGCTGGGGCTCACCATAGGTGGCGATGGTGAAGGGATATCGATGCAGGGCGAGTCAAGGCAGTGTCGGGGCGAGGCCGCGCCGTGCCGAGCAGCTACTCCGCTGTAGCCGATCGGGTCGTCGCCTTCCATTCCAGTGGCTCCTCTTCGCTGGCTCCGGTAGAACCCTCTCTTCTCTACTCCCCTTCTCCCTCCTTCCCCTTCTTCTCTTGGTCGCGACGGGAAGTGGTGGCCACCAGGGCGGCGGCGAGGTGATGGGAAACGGCTAGGGTACCTCGGTGGTGCCTTCTTATAGGGAGGTGGTGATCATGGCGAGGTGAACGGCGGAAAGGGGCTTAGGGCCACGTGGAGGTGATTGGTGTGCTTAGGCTAGGGTTAAGGTCATGGCGCGGTCGTGGGTTGCCTTGGCACCTCCGTTTTGGCGCAACAACCTGCTCAGGCTTCGTTATTTGGTGCTAGGGGTGGTTGCAAGGGCGTGGGCCACAGCGATGGCGTCATGGCACGGATGGCTCCAGCTGGGGACAGTAGCAGTATGGATAGGCGATGTGGCATCGCATCCACGCGTTCGTTGTCAACTGACATGAAGAGAACGGCTGGCGATGGAGATCCCCCCTCCTCTGTCCTGACTCGGGCGCGAAAAGGGGGGTGAAGGCGCGAGGAGGACGATGACAACGGGGTCCCAGCTGGCGGTGACCAGGAAAAAGGGAAGAGTGGCTCCTATATAACACGAACGAAGAGCGGGCTCCCCGCTAGGCCACCTCGGCGTTGTTGGGCCGTGCCGAATCCATGGCCCGTTATGGTGGGAGTGGGGCAGCTGAAAGGCTGGGCCGGTTGGGGGGTTGGGTTGGCCTGCGGGTGCCAGTGCGTGGCCTGCTGGGCTAGAGTCCGTTCGCGGGCTATGGAGCCAGGCTGGCTTGAGCTCTAGGGCCAAAAGGGGTTTCTCCATTTTAGCTTAATTGAATTAGCTCTTCTATGTTATGTCTTCATTTTTTTAGCTACTCCATAGTTCCTACATGCATACACATGTGTTGCTTACACATGTATGCCCTAGTGGGCTCCACTAGAGGTCATTTAGGGTTCAACCAAGGGTTGGCAACAACACACACACATTTATTTAAAAATTTAAATAAATGTTGTTGCTTTTATTAATCAATACAAAAGAACATAAGAAGCAACTCATGCAAATTTAATTAAATACAAGGATATAAACATCTACAATAGGTACTACTTATGCAACTGGGGTAGTTTTCCTACAAGACATTCACCAACCATTGGCAATTTTAAAAAAAAATTGTAGTTGTGTTTTTTTTTGTTTTCTAGGAATTTCTGGGTTGTTACACCCTTAGATGTCCCGATGTGGAAGTGGGAACGCATATCCATGGACTTTATAGTGGGTTTACCTCGAACCCCGAAAGGCCATGACTCGATCTAGCTAATTGTTCATAGATTGACCAAGGTAGCTCACTTCATAGCTATGAAGAATGACTACAGAACTGAGAAGCTCGTAGATCTATATGTGGATAACATTCTCAGTCTTCATGGAGCCCCTATTAGCATACTATCTGATCGAGGGACTCAATATGTGTCCAAGTTCTGGAAGAGTCTTCACAAGGCAATCGGGACTCGACTGGATGGGTAGACAGAGAGAGTGAATCAGATCTTGGAGGATATGCTCCGAGCTTGTGTTCTAAAATACGGGTCTAATTGGGAGAAGAGTTTGCCACACGCAGAGTTTTCTTACAACAATAGTTACCAGGCTAGTCTCAAGATGTCACCAATTGAGGCCTTGTATGGGAGAAAGTGTAGGACCCCTTTGATGTGGTCAGAAGTAGGAGAGAGATCATTCTTTGGCCCTGCAAAGAT